CTGCCCTAGGCCGTGCCGTGTGTGTATTGGGAGAGTCCATTATTCTCTAACCTATACAACCGGTAAACTCAAGAGGTTACAAGGGGGCAAAGGCGATACCTTGAATATATGAAGACGTCTGAAGAAGACTTGGCTGAGATTCCAAAGTGTTGCTTGAAGATGCCACAGGCGGAGCAGTCAGTTCGCGTTTAAAACCTGAAGCATAAAGACAAACAGTCAGGTATTTTGGAAGAATATCACCCAAAGATACCCCAAGCGGTATCAAAAAATCTTGCTCAAAGATACCCCAGGCGGTATCAAGGAAGCTTGCCCAAAGGTACCCTAGACGGCATATAGGCCGCCTAAGGTCCTAATGAATTGGGTTGTAGAGCATTGTTCAAAGACCCCCCAGGCGGGATCGATGAAGATTGCCTAAAAGCCCCCCAGGCGGCGATAATACCGGCTGAGGGTCTTATGAATGCAAATAAAAATGATGGAAATTACTCAGAAATGCCCCAGGCAGACTATTTCCGGCTGAGGGTTTTACAAGAGCAGATCATGAGCAAGTTATGAAGGAAATTGCTCGGGCATAACCCAGACGGATTAAGTCCGGCTGAGGGTATCATGGATCCAAGTCTTGAGGAACAATTGTTTGAAGATACCCCAAACGGACCATAACCGTCTGTGGGTCTAGTTTCGAAAAGCAATTGTCTGAAGACACCCCAGACGGTCCAAAGCCGTCTGTGGGTCTTGATTTGAGGATCCTTTGTTTGAAGATACCCTAGGCGGCTCCTAGCCAACTGAAGGTCTATGAAATGAAAGTTTTTGATATGCAATTGATTGAAGATGACCCAGGCGGAATATTTCCGGGTTGGGGTATTGAATGCAAGATATTAAAGAATAGTCTGAAGATGCCCTAGACGGCATGTGACCGTCTGTGGGTCTTTTGAATGCAAATCCTTGAAGACCATTAATTAGAGATGCCACATGCGGTATATCACCGTCTGTGGGCCTATGGGATGCATTATTGGAAGGTCCATTGATTGAAGATACCTCAGACGGTCCATAACCGTCTTAGGGTCTATTTTTGAAGACCATGGTTTGAAGATACCCCAAACGGTCCAAACCGTTTGTGGGTCTACCAAATGCAAGACATGAAAGAAAGGGCTTAAGGTGCCCCAGATGGTTTAAGACCGCCTGTAGTTCTACTCAAATCAAGAATAAATCTAGAGTCAGACGGTACCTGGGTGAGTTGATTGAAGAAGCACTCAACCGGTATCCGGATGTGTTCAAGCAAGGAAGCTGGGTGCACAATTAAGCAGTCGGTATCAAAGCTCTCAAGAGAATTTTTTACAAAATGTGTAAAGTGAAGAGGAGAGAGGGGGTGCGTCTCAATTTATAGACAAGCCCAGAAGGCGAATCGCCACCTTCTGCCTCAACTTTTCAAAATAGAGAGGTGGGAAGCAAATCAACCGTCGCCTCCCCTGTGCTTGACACCTGTCACAGATGACACGTGGTTACGCCACGTCACACCTGTGAGGGGCAAATGTTTAGGGTAAAAATACCCTATGCCACGTGGCCCAGTAGTATGATGACACGTGGCAGCCCACCAGAGGCCCAACGGGATCCAATCGGATGCTGACACGTGGCATCAAAACCCTAATCAGGGAGCATGCCTCCCCCACTATAAATAGGGGAAAAATCCTCATTTATGTCCCATTCATAAATACATACACAAATCTCGAGCAATATTAATTGCGGAATCTCCCTGAATCAGAGAGAAACATTCATCTTACTTTCCGCACGTTTTCTCATCCGGAGTCATACTAACTTAATCTTCGGAGGCGAAACTCCACCCAACCGGAGTTTCGTGGTGTTGCAGGTACAGAAGTCAGGCGCTCATACCCAGTATTGTAACTCTCCCGAGGGACTAAAAACACCCGAAACAGGGCCAAAGCAATTAAGGTACTCAAAAGCTGACCGGAGGTAAGTTTTCCGGTTGTTACCTCTTGCAACCGGTTACTTGCACTTTAATTAAAAAAAAAAAAAAGAATATTTGCTAAGTTGTGTGCCTTGAAAAAGAAAAGGCCATGTCTGAAAATAAACCAAAATCAAAAAATTAATTCAAATAAACAAAAATTAAACTTAAATAAACAAAAATCAAACTCAAATACTACCTCCGTTTCATATTTTTTGCAACTTTGGAATATTTTATATCTCACAAATAATACCCAAATTTGAAAAAAATATGAAACGGAGGTAGTAAACAAAAATCAAACTTAAGATCTGTAATCAAACACAAATAAACAAAAATCAAACCCATATTAAAAAAAAAAAAAAAATTAAACCTAAGATATGGAATCAAACTCAAATGAACAAATCAAACCAAAAACACAACTAAAAAGAAGAAAAAGAAAACTCCCATTTTTGACACCCATTTTCGGATCAACCACCCCACACTCTACCACCACAGGGCCCCGGCAAACCACCAAAAACACAACATAAAAACACACCATAGCCAAAATAGCCCCCAAAAACGAAAAAATACAAAATAAAATAAAACTAAACTAAAAATCGAAATAAACGCTATTCAAATAAATTTTTTTTGAAATAAACTACAATTAATTAGTAAAAAAAAAAATTAACAAAATCAAAAAGGAAAAGGAAAATCACGATAAAATAAACAAAAAACCCACGAATATCAACATACTTATTTCAAATTTCATCTTCTATGGGTTTTTATGGTCGAATTCGGCAATAAAAAACACCAAATTTGGAATTTTTATGGCCACGTTTGACCACTTAAACCACGAACAAAAGTGACGAACTAGAAAAAAGGAACCCAAAATCCAAATTGAAGGAGATAATCACATGTGCGAAGAGGAGTGAGAAAGAGAAGGGGTGAGAAAGAGGGGGTCTTAATTGAGAAAAACCATGAGAAGAACCAAAAACAGATATGTGAGAAGAGGGAGAAAGGAAAGAGAAGAGAGAGAAAGGGGATCCTTTTTTTTTTTGGAAAGGGAATCCTTGTTTAATTTCCTTTTATTTTCAAGTCTGATATTTAATTTTCTTTTTTCAATTCAATGGATAATAGGGGTGCCCATAATTCGGATAAAAACCGAAATCCAATCCAATCCAAACCGAATTATCAATTCGGATCGGATCCAAACTTTAAATCGGATCGGATCGGATTGAGATTTTTTGGAAATTCGGATTTTCGGATTGGATCGGATTGACCCTAATTGGATCCAATCCAAACCAAAAACCGAATTATAAAATTAAGCTTGTATAAATATGGATTTTTTTGTATATTTTGAAGTTTAGTTTAAATACATACTACTACATAAAATAAGTTAGAGAGACTTTGTATTAGTTAATTAATGACTTGACGTTGAACTATTTATTTTAATCATGATTTTGAGGACTTTTATTTATAGTGAAGCTTTATTTTTATAATTGTATTAGGTGCTAAAAAATAATGTATTATAATTCGGATTTTCGGATCGGATCCAAATAACCGAATTGTAATTCGGATTGGATTGGATTGGATCAAGAGAGAAATTCGGATCGGATCGGATCGGAAAATTGAAAACCAAATTATATTTCGGATTGGATCGGATTTGGACTAAATCCAAACCGAAAACCGAACGGACACTCCTAATGGATAATCCAATACCTAATTTATGTGTCAGCAAATTTATTTCCCTTTATTTTTGCAAAGGATTACCTGCTATAGAAGGTCATAACTTGTTTGAGTACCTTGTTTGCTTCACTCCAAACTTTAGTACCTCATCTGCAACTAATTGTAAAGTTCAGTACCTTGTATTTTAGTTTACTCTTGTATGAACTAACTAAACTTATGTTATTATATTTTCATTTAAATTGTTTTGTTTGAACTTATTTGAATAATATAAAATTGTTTGTAGAAATAATTTATTTTATCTACTTCGTATATTATTTTGTTTGAGCTTATTTATTTGAATTTATTTTGTCTAATAATATATTTTTTCTACCTTATTTTTTTTAATCAAGTAAAATAAAGATGAAACCATTATACCCTAATCTACCCATCTCTTTTATGATATCTCCTCTTTCCACTATCAATTCTACAAAAGATGGAAAAGCAAAACAATATTGCCATTGTAGGATCCAAAAAACTCAGAAATTAGTAGTTCAAATATTGGTTAATTTAATTAAATTGGGATATTTATTTCTTGTCTTTTTATATAATTTATTTGGCTTTATATTAACTAAAGATTCATTAGTATCTATTATGATGTCATTTGAATTTCATATTTTTATTTTTTATTTTTTATTTTTTTATTTTTGATTTGAATGTCATATTCACTAAAAGTTACACTTCAATAATAATACTCCATAATAAACATGAATTAATTCATTGAATAATATTTTCGGCCTATTTATTAGGTGTGGATCAGGCTACTATACTTCAAGTTGTAGCCATGTTACTACAAGCCCAAATTACATGTTTCCGCTATCTTGCCTCAAACTCGACTCGCTCCTATGTTTTCACAGATCAGGTAACTATTTTAGTTCACCTCATTTGTACTTATTTCAGAAAAGATAAGATTATATCAGATAAAAAAAAAGTTCAGATCGGTTCATCGTTTTATGTGCAGTTTTTAATTGTTAAATATCTTTAATTTCGTAATGAAAAAAATTATGAAAATTACATATTAAGAAAATACACATTTTTTTACTAATCTAACAAGACCCTGATATATTTTTTCTTTATAGAATATCATACACATAAGGTCAAAATTTAATAATCAGACCAGATCATATCATATCATACCAGATAAATCACACCAAACCATATCATATCAAATCAGCAAAAAAGGTAAACTTAACAAGCCATAAATCAAAGCTCGACATACATTTACTCTAATCACCATTCGGCCCAATCCATGATCACCCCAAAATTCGGCCCTAATACAAACTCCATATAAAAAAATTAATTTTCAACCATCATGCATAATAAAATGGATTTTTTTTGGATCTGAATATCTGATAGCTGATGCACAATTGCGCATAAGCACATTACAGCCAGGACGGCAGTCGGCAAGACTACACACACACCGACAGTCAGTAGTCAATCATTTATTGTTTTAAAGCGCAGCCAAACTTGCTGCTACTTCCTTCTCTCATACCTCTACTCTTCTTCTTCTTCCTCTTCCTCTTCCTCTTCCTCTCCATCTTCATCTACCTCACTCTTCTCTTTCTCTCTCCTCCATTTTCTGATCTTCTGGTCTAAAAATGGAGTCTTCTTCATCTTCCTGCAGCTGCAACTGCAGTAGATCCATTGCTAAACTCACCAGTTTCACCATTTTTTTTGCTGTCCTACTTTCTTGCTCCTTTTTTACATCAACTGGTAATTACCCACTTCACTTCTCTTGTTTGTTTCATTGATTTTTGCTCTAATTTGGGGGTTTTTTAATCAATCATTTTGTTGTTAATCAATTGATTTTGTATTGCTATAGCCAATCTTGTACTTCTTAATTTTAGTCAAATTGGATGAATTTAGCTTCTGGGTATTGTTGATTTTGTTTTGTTATTGAGAATTTGAGCTGAATTTATTGCCAATTTTGTGTTTTGGAATGTTGGTTGTTTTTGCTATATTTATACAGTGATTGATGATATAGGATTTAATGTTTTTTGGGTTACTTTAGAAATTGGAAAATGAAAGTTAATGTGATTAGTTGAAATTACTAATTATAGTACCTTACTTTAATGAAAAGGAAAGAATAATTAAGGTTATGAGATCATTGTTGCTTTGATCTGTTAACTTGGATCAATTTGATTATATTTTATTGAATGTTATGCTTGAATTATGCTGAGATCTAATCACACTCTTTGTGTTTGATTGCTGATTTCTTTTGTAGAAGCTTATGATGCACTTGATCCAAATGGAAATCTTACTATCAAATGGGATGTTATCAATTGGACCCCTGATGGATATCTTGTAAGTATTACTAGACCAAAGTTTTGTTATTTTTGGGATTATATTGTTGTTTTTGTAAATGACTAGATTAGTTGGTTAAAGTCTTGGGGTTGGTACCTTCGTACCTAGATCAAATTTTGTCTGTCAGTGTCTACAGTACTGCACTTAGTGGCTCCCTTGACACTAGAATAAAAGTACTACTGAAGAGTAATTGCTATAAAGAATAATGCAATTATGTGAATACCTCCATGTTTCTATTTTTGCCTAGATTAGTTGGTTAGAGTCTTGAGGGTTTAGTTAGTTTGTTTGTTTGTTGTCTTTTGGATGTTGCAAGGTTATGCCCGCTTTTGATTCAAAGCGTTTAGAATGCCTGGCATATACGTGGATTCAATTTGTTTGTTATCAGCCACATTATGAATAATCTTTCCTAAGCCATATACACGAGATTGCTAAATCACCAAGTTTCATTTTGTTGACTAATTTCTACTTCAGTAAATTATATCAAAATATGCAAACAGTTATGTGAGAAGCAAATTTGTCTCTCTTCCACGTTTCTTTTGTTAGTTAAATTCTTATGCTATGTTTCTGGCAGGCTGTCGTCACAATGATTAACTTCCAGCAGTACCGCCACATTCAAACCCCAGGGTGGACACTTGGATGGACATGGGCCAAAAAGGAGGTAATATGGAGTATGGTGGGTGCACAAACCACAGAGCAAGGAGATTGTTCAAAATTTAAAGGAAACATTCCTCATTGTTGTAAAAAGGATCCATCAGTGGTAGATTTGCTTCCTGGAACACCTTACAACCAGCAAATCGCTAACTGCTGCCGCGGAGGGGTACTAACTGCCTGGGGCCAGGACCAAGCCAATGCTGTTGGCGCTTTTCAAATTAGTGTAGGTCAAGCGGGAACATCTAATAAGACAGTTAAGCTGCCAAAAAATTTCACATTGATGGCACCAGGGCCTGGATATACTTGTGGGCCAGCAAAGATTGTGAGGCCAACCCAGTTTACGACATCTGATAAGCGGAGAACCACTCAAGCTTTGAGTAAGTGGCCTTCTTATTAATCTTAGGCATTTAGGTTGTTGATTATCTTGGTTCCTTGAACTTATGAATCATGGAGAGTACATTCTCTCTATTTAAGAAACTAAACATAGTTTCTGACTTATCTGTGATACTTATAACTGATAGTCTCAGATTCATATGCCAGTTCTTGAATTTATTGTTTTCGATTATGCTTTCCAATGATGTATTAATGGTCACTAGAGCTTATATATCTTGCTGAGGTTGAAATGATTTCAAAGTTTACTAATAGCAACAACATTTCTTCTTTGCAGTGACTTGGAACATAACTTGCACGTATTCTCAGTTCCTGGCTCAGAAGACTCCTACTTGCTGTGTTTCTCTCTCCTCATTTTACAATGACACTATCGTACCCTGCCCAACTTGCTCTTGTGGATGTCAGAACAACATAACCCAACCAGGAAGCTGTGTTGAGTAAGTGACCTTATCAAAGTGGTATTTTGTGGAAAAGCTTTCATATATGCTCTTTTTGTTCTGACTAAGAGGTGATAATTGCAATTGCAGAGCGGACAATCCCTATTTAACTTCAGCCATTTCAGCAGGTGGACCAAAATCTAGTAGCAAACCTCTACTCCAGTGTACCAGTCACATGTGTCCAGTTCGGATTCATTGGCATGTCAAGGTCAATTACAAGGACTATTGGCGTACTAAGGTTACTATTACAAACTTTAACTACCGAATGAACTACTCGCAATGGAATCTGGTTGTGCAGCATCCCAACTTTAATAATCTCACTCAATCGTTTAGTTTCATGTACAAAGGATTGACGCCCTATGATGGTTTGAGTAAGTATCATCTCTTTGTATTTACTAAATATATACCAGTCAAGTGTTGATTGATTGCAATAGTTTCTAATGATTCTCTACTGGGTAATTTGATGTTGTTTGTTACAGATGACACTGCCATGCTATGGGGAATTAAGTTCTATAATGATTTTCTTAATGAAGCTGGGCCTTTCGGGAATGTGCAGTCAGAGCTGCTATTTCAGAAAGACAAAACTACTTTTAGTTTCGAGAAAGGATTTGCTTTTCCACGGCGGGTGTACTTTAACGGAGATAACTGTGTGATGCCTCCTCCAGATGCTTACCCATGGCTACCAAATGCTAGTTCGAGACCTATTATCTCTCTTCTACAACCTGTCATGACTATCTTGGCAGCCCTGGCTTTCTTACTTGCATATGCTTAGAGAGAGACATGTTGCTTTCCAGATTTCTCTTGAATCACTTGTGTGATGCACTTTCACCTTGACACTTACCAATTGGTCTCATTGCTGCTTCAAGTCCAGTGATGCACTATGACCCTTTTCAGGTACACCATTCATCGCTTCTAGAAAGAGCGTCCATTGTCTAATGAAGTGTTTGTCTAATGAAGTGTTGAAAATGAGAATCTGATGCCGTTTTTTTTAGAGATAGGCTCTTTTGTACACGTATTTATACTTTTAATTTATATTCTTTTTTTTTTTTTTTTTATTTATTATTCTTCTTAGAGTATTTATTGAGACGCGTATTTCAGTCGTTGTAACTTGTAAAAACTCTGGCCATGGAAATGCAAGTGTTATATAGAGTTGCTTGTTGTATTTGCTGCGATGCATTCAAGATTTGATGAAATTCACAATGCTCATCCTTCAGAAATATTGCAGTATGATTATTCAAATTCTATCTAAAAATATGCAGTACATTAAAATAAGATATCACAATTGTATAACCCTTTTAAATCAAGGCAGAAGCTTAGCTTAATGCACGCTTACTCAAAAATTCACAAGCAACATGTTGGTGAAAGAGCATTACCTAAATAAGAAGAACCATTAATGTGTATGTACCGGCTACCATTAAGTAAGCAAAGGAAATCATACTGGCCGAGCTTGGAAGTGAAGGATATGCATCAGGTGGTGGAAGTCTGCATTCATCTCCATTGAAGTAAACTTTCCTAGGAAATGCCCATCCTTGTCTGAAGGTGAATGTGCTTTTGTCCTTCTGTAGAAGTAATTCAGACTGCACATTCCCATCAGGTCCAGCTTCCATTAAAAGATCATTATAAAACTTCGTACCATAGAACATACCAGTATCATCTGCGAAAAAGGAAATAGGAAGAAATAAATCAGGGAGATTTAGCGCGATTACTTTGTAACTGCTGTTAGGAGGAGTAAGATACGTATATCTAAACTCTAGAATAATAAAATTCACCTCCGAACCTATATAATCTTTACATATCTTTAATGGAAAATTTTTCTATTTAGTATTTACTAGGAGGTCGATATCAAAAACGAAGTGTGTTAGTTGTATAAATATTTTCTGATTAGAGGCACTTACTAACTGAATGATACGGTACAACAGGCTTGTAGTCAAAGCTGAAAACTTGGGTGACATTGTTAAGATTGGGATGTTGGACCACCAATGTCCACTGAGTATAGTTCATGCGATAATTGAAATTAGTTACTGATATCTTGGCACGCCAGTAATCCTTATAATTGATCTTAACATGCCAGTGGACTCGGATAGGGCACATATGATGTGTGCATTGTAGAAGAGGCGCATTATCCTTCCTTGGAGTGTTTATTCCTCTTGAGTGTGATTTCTTTGAGTTCATCCTACATTTCAGTCAGGCACAAAATGAAATTATAATGCTACTGATTTTGTTGGATATATTCTACACTAGGGAGGTTGGAGGTATATATATTGGTCGTTTACCTGATACAGCTACCTTTGTTGTGGCAGCCACAAGAACAAGATGGGCAAGGGACGATTGTGTCATTGTAGAAAGACGAGAAGGAGACACAACATGATGGGTTCTTTGAAGCCAGAAACTGCGAATAAGTGCATGTTACATTCCATGTCACTGCAAGTTGAGAGCAAGCTGTTCAGTATGCTAACATTACAAACAAGTCAGATAACTAACAGATTATAATTTGTAAATTTATATTTTGTTTGTGATTAGGGATGAAATTAAGGACATTGAGGGAGCTGCTTTAAAAGGAAAGACTGGGTAATTGACAGAAAATACTTACTGAGCGCCTGAGTTTTCCTCCGGCGATCAGTGGTGAGGAAAACTGTGGAAGGCACAATTTTTGCTGGGCCACAAGTATAGCCAAGACCAGGTCCTAGCAATGTAAAATTCTGAGGGAGCTTCACAGTCTTGTTTGACGTGCCAGCCTGCCCAACGCTGACTTGGAAGGCAGAGATCGCGGCAGCAGGGTCCTGTCCCCATGCTGCGACTACTCCACCCTTGCAACAGTTTGCAATCTGCTGGTTATAGGGTACTCCTGGAAGCAAGTCCACTACTGTCGGGACCTTCTTACAGCAGTGAGGCACGTTGCCCTTAAACTTGGAGCAGTCCCCTTGTTCAGTTGTTTGTGCTCCCACCATTGACCATATTACTTCTTTCTTCGCCCACATCCATCCTATTGTCCACCCAGGGCTCATTATTTGCCGATACATTTGGAAGTTGTTTATCGTGACCACTGCCTGTTAAAAGTGCAACATATAGTGTTTGAGAAGTTGATTTCTTAAACAAGATGAGAATTCAGTACTTACCACATAACCATCTGGAGTCCAAGACATAACATCCCATTTGACTGTTATGTTACCGTTTGGATCTAATGGATCATATGCCTCTGTAATGTTGGGGAATAAATTGAATAAGAAAACATACAAATAGATTCAGTTGATAGGAAGATCATAAAATAAACATTATTCTGGCAAAATTATCAGTGTTTACAAGAATACAAGCTCAGAGCATTACCTGCATGATAGGAAAGCATGAGAACAGCAAGTGCAACATAGAGCGCGAACTTCAGTTCAGCTTGTGCAACTAAATATTGGCGCTGGCATTGCATATTCCTTTCTTTCGCAACGTGTTTTTGGATGAAAGGTACACATGTTTTACACCTCATGTTCTGTTTTTTTAGCAGAAACACTGAGGGATAGTTGTGAAAAAACAGATAAAGATGAGATCATATATGGCATTGTTTCACCTGGGGTTGTTAGGTGTGTCATGAGATATTTCATATCTCATGTTCCATTTTACCTTTTACCTTTTATCTGATTGGTCAGTTGGTCTGATTACTTCCTTTTTAAGTAAGATTTTAGTGAGGAAGTGAACTGAACATTAATTATGTTTTCGAGACAGTTGAGCATAAAAAGGTCAGCAATATCTCTCAATCATGTAGGAAAGCTAGAGTCTACCAAAGTTAGCTGATATTATTTGGTATAAATTGTTTGCCAAGTATACATCGTTCTATACCATACATTAGCGTAGTATACAGAAATCAACCGAGATATAAATTGTACGGAATATTGTATGTTTTGTGTTCATCAGACATTCATATGATCGACGAAAATTAAACTGGTAGTACTGACTCTAACCAGATAAGCTAAACCAAGGACATGGAAAACACCCGATTATAAGGAGAAAATCATAGAATTTATTATTATTATTCTATTTTTGCAAAGCCAAAGGCAAATTAAACACTGACACGAGTACTCCGTAAAAGATTTGGTCTAAACACGGACCAATTCTGTACTTTCTTCACCATTCACATTATGGTATGTCAAAATCTTCCTTTGGTTTCGGTTGTGCACTACTAAGCTCTCCATATAAATGCCAAAATAGCTATAATAATAATCTTCCAAATGTTGTATCCGGTGACTTCTGAAGTTATAAGAAAATATATTACTTCTAAAAGATAGGATAAATGTATTCTTCTCAACATTGAAAATAACCGTACGAAAACCTCTGGTAAGAAACCGGTGAGCTTTTGAATTTGAATCTCCAGTATACCAAAGCCGCCATGATTTAATTTTATCTACACCATCCTCGACCAAAACCCATATGCAGGCACTATGAGAAGACATAGCGAAAATTGCTACAGACTCACTAAGGACAAAATTAATTTTAACTAGACCTGGTTGTTTAAGAGCATCAGGCAAATCCACGAAGACGAATTCCTCGGAATCAAAATCGAACGATACAAGATGATTATGTACGCCAGGAGGTTTATCCTTTTCAAAGCCTAACCAGCACAAAGCACCCTTACAATAAAATTCATCCGCATCTTCAAAACTTAAAAGGCCTCGAACGTGAGCATCCGACCTATCTTTAATCCTCCAAAGGTTAGCATTTGATGAATAAACCACTATCGAAGAATTATCATAAACAAAAGCAACAACCTTATAATCATTAGTAGACGGAGCGAAACCTAGCCAACATGTCCAAGTCATATAAGGACAACGGGGGATCGACCAGGACTTTCGAGTACAGGGATTATGAAATACCATCTCATCCTCGTCGACCTCGTCCGGCGTAATTGCATAAAACGCACACATCAAAATTAATCCATATTTGCAGCATATTACTTCACAATTAAAAGGAGTTTTAAATATTTCGTCAATTTTTCTGAATGTGTCGATACTATAAACTGCAGTTTTGTCGCAGTTCATGGCTATCGCGTACTTGGGTTTGTTGTTGTAAATTTGAAGATGCAAAAGACTGAAATAAGAGGAATCAATTAATGAACACCAGCTTTTACAAACACACCTTAATCTCATTAAGCTTTTCACCGGCAGCCTCGCTAAGATCTCTGTCCACATATCCATCGTTAAACCCGGCAATGCTTCCGCCATTGAGTCAGTATTTGAAGTTATTACGGGAGATTGGAACTAATATCGTTAAACTCACAAGAAATTTAAGAGAAAACGGCTCAATGAGCCTTTACCATTAAAGGCATATATATAGGCTTACAACATTAACCTAACAAGCCAAAAACTCCTAACAAGATATGTACAAATATATCTCAAAATATAATTATATACTAACACAAATCATATCTTTCACAAAAGTATATCTTATTCATATGTATTTTGGTAGTATGTTTATCACTTTCTAATAATATTTACTTGTATATATTTTTAAATTTATAATTTCTGATCTTATTGTAACTAAATGATGTATCTTTATATACTACTATCCTATACCTATTCATCAGCTTAACTTTTTTATAACATATACAGTGTAACTTTTAGTTATCAACCTTACGATTTCATTCTCAACATTATTATGTAATATCTTTATGAACATAAAATTTGCAAATTCCGTCTAACGTTTCATTTTAGATCTAATGTAATAGCGCACTCACACAATATTCTAAACTTGTATGGCAGATCAAAGAATTATTTATAAAAAATAAATAATTATAAATCGAGAAAGGACATTTTCTATTACTTGATCTTGATAACCAACTTTCAAAAAAAAAAATATTTGAAATTCTAAAATTTATTGATAGCCGAATTAACTAACTACTACTAACGGATAAAATAAAGATTGAACCATGATTTTATAAATACTTATTTTGTAATTATTATAGTACTAAAGTAGTATCTACTCCATAGTAAGACTAGTAACTCATATAAAATTACAACAGTTACAAGTTAATGATGTTTTAAATTTCCATTAACAAATTTACACTTGAACATGCATATACACTTTATGATAATTGAACAGACTGGGCTGTTGCCCAAACATAAGCCCATTTCAACCAATTTTATGCTGTTAGGCCGACTAAAAGTTCTAATCTGCTAAAAT